TATGCTACTCCAGGGATGGGCAATGTCAGTTGTCCTGCAGAGTTTAGCTCCAACCCTAATCAAACACGCCTGAACAAGCTAATCAATGTCTTTAGGATTACTAAGGTTACAGGCAGGTGAGGGTTTTTTTAAATATCAGGGCTGGAGCTAAACTCTGCAGGACAGCGGCCCTCCAGGACCGAATTTGCCCATCCCTGAGCTACACCATGCTATTTAAAGGAACACTCCGACTTTTTGAAACTTTAGCCTATTCACCTTATCCCCCAGCGTTAGATAAGTCCACACATACCTTTTTCATCTCCGTGCGTGCTGTAACTCTATCTGACAAACCCACCGCTAGCCTAGCTTAGCACAAAGACTGGATGTAAATGGTTGCAGCTAGCATACTAATCCAAATAAGTGACAAAATAGCGCAAACATTTTCCTATTTACATGTTGTGATTTGTATAGTCACAGAGTGTACAAAAAACAAAGTCACATGAGACCCAGACATATTTTAACCGTATAAATACTGGGAACTATATTCTCTGAAGGCGAAGCACTGCTACTTGGGCGGAGTGATAACCGCAGCACCTGAGACGCGCCGTGGTGAGGAGCAGAGAGCGCGTCTCAGGTGCTGCGGTTATCACTCCGCCCAAGTAGCAGTGCTTCGCCTTCAGATAATATAGTCGCCTTCAGAGAATATAGTTCCCAGTATTTATACGGTTAAAATATGTCTGTGTCTCATGTGACTTTGTTTTTTTGTACACTCTGTGACTATACAAATCACAACATGTAAATAGAAACATGTTTGCGTTATTTTGTCACTTATTTGGATTAGTATGCTAGCTGCAACCATTTACATCCAGTCTTTGTGCTAAGCTAGGCTAGCGGTGGGTGCGTCAAACAGACTTATAGCACGCACGGAGATGAAAAAGGTTATGTATGGACTTATCTAACTCTGGGGGATAAGGTGAATAGGCTAAAGTCCCAAAAAGTCGGAGTGTTCCTTTAAGTCAACTGAAGTGTCTTGTGACCTGGTACCTCCAGTAGGTGGCAGCACAGGACAGTGAACAGCTTTAGCACTGAGGTTAGTGTAATAACAAAGGGCACAAAAGGGCAAAATTAAAGATTATAAAGGGCTACGTTTATGTAAGCAATAAGGTACGAAAGGCCGTGCTGTATCGTGAATAAGTCACGGCTGAAGGGCGTTGTTAGGCACGACGCAAAGCGGACCCCTTCAGCAGTGACTTATACACGATACAGCTCTAGCCTTGAGTATCTTATTGCTTTTATAAAACGGTTACCACACAATACAAATATTAAAGCCGAAATATATGTTTCTATGCAACTTTCATGAAGTAAAATCACTAAAAGCCTTCCTTCCGTTGTAAAAAATAGTCCCTGACCGTAAACAGCAACAGAAGTTACATACATTATTTCTCCAATAGATGGAGACAAAGACTGTCTTAATGAGTCAGTCAGTCAGTATCTTGCAGTGCAGAGTGAAGTCAGTAACCTTAACCTATGTACATTAATGGTGGTTTGGGACAAATATATAATTTAATTTAATGAAAAAAATGTTAGTGTGTCGTGGCAGGATTTTGAACAGCCTCCTGAGGGGTATCGCTGCACTGCGGACAGACGTGTGGCACTGCCGGTGTGTCTGCACTCATAGAAAACAATGTGTTTGAATTTCTTTCACTTTGCATACCATCACTATCAGAGCAATTTTTTCAACCTCTTCTTACTCCCTAAATGTCTGATTAAATGCCATATCCAATACTTTTACGCATCACTATACAGTGATAGAAACATTGCAACATTCCCAGTAAACCCAAAGCTTTAAATGAGTGAAGTTCATGGGAATTTTATCATCATGAAATTATATGCTGAGGTATAATTTTGTCTTTATGACATGATATTTTGGGGTATGCATTTCAGATATTTTGGGGTATGCATTTCACTCATTATCAGACACGTTGGGAGTGAGAAAAGGTTGACTTTCTTTAAATGCATGTCAATAGTGGAGAGGCTTCAATACACTGAATTCAGTAAGCTGACTTTTGTGACGAAACGGTTGATCACTTTATGAATTGGCACCCTGTGGCTAATTTTTTTAACATGTTTGCCATTAAATATTCACTTTGAAATTAAGCTACATTTAAAACTAAATAAATGTTTTATAATAGAAGTTGATAGAAGAATTTTTCAACGGGTTGAATTTACTTTGTGTTAATGCTCTTTCATTTTTATGGTTTTCACAAACAATGATTGACTGCCATGATAAAACTGAATGTGATTCAGTAATTCATAATCAAATTTTATAATAAAAATATTTAAATCTGTGATTTTGATAATCTGGTTTATTTCTGATATTTTTGTTTTGGATAGTAGAAGTTCTGAATGTGCAATAACTCAGTGTATAGTAACCTGGTGAGTAAAAGTTAATTTCAAACCCTGTACATAAGATATGGATAATTATTTCTAGTCAAATATGGAGTGCATGTCATCAGAAATTGCCATGTTCTAATGTGATTTCTTTTTGTGCCTTGTTGCACTTTTTTTTTAAAATAATTGGTGGATATTTAATAAAATGTATATTTTTCTTTTTCTTTTTTTAAAGAGGCTCGTGCTTGAAGCATGTTTTCCTATTCAGCTGGCTCCCCATCAAAAACACACCAACTCCATGCTGAGATGCACATTTTGGAGGGCAGTCAGTGACCAGATTTTGTTTTTCCTGTTCTTCTGACTCTTCATCGAATGGACTAACTCAAGAATGAGATGCAAATAATGGAGAGCAGTTATTGACAACATTTTGTGTGTTCTCCTCTAATTGCATATTAGAAAAGTGTTATTTACAGTATTAAAACATAGCTGCCATATATAATGACAAGAAAAACACCAGTTCATAAAATGCACACTTACTGTACCATTATCTTCCAAGCAATATTTGCTCACATGGTTTTATAACAACAGCACAAGAAAAAAGATACATTCCCTGACGGTAATGTCGAAGATATTTTCATGATTGTTAATTATTGTCCATTTCAGCAAATCGGTATAAATTGAAGCCAAAAACAAACAAGTCTTCCTGTTCAGATCATTGCAATGAAAGAAAGATATATCCTTGTCTTAAAAAAAAAAGGTGGTTATGTGGTTTTTGGTTAAAGTCTGCCTGTGTTCTGATATTTTTGTAACATTGTCCAGTATGTAAATGTCTTAAGTTATGGGAGAGTGCTTTTCAAACAGAACTGACGTTGTATTTAGAACATATGAATAAATTGATTGCAATACATGTGCATTTGACCAGATTTTAAAACTACAAAGAACCTGGAAAATGCTTGAATTGTTTATTAAAAGGTTTCATGCTCTGTGTTAGTGTCTGTGGTTTACATGGGATTTTTTTTTTTAAACTGGACTTCAGATTTTGCAATGACATGATAGAGATGCACACTATTTGTGGATTTGTTGGTGATCCAAGTAATATTTAAAGGGATAGTTTAACCCAAAATGAAAATGCTATCATTTACTCACCCTCAAGTTGTTACAAACCTGTTTTAATTTCTTTATTTTGCTGAACATAAAGGATGATTATGTTAACGAATGTCTTTTTTTTATTTCTTTTTTTTATACTATGGAAGTTAATGGGGCCCATCCAGTGGTTGGTTACCCATATTCTTCTAAATATATTTTGTGTTCAGCAAAAGAAAGAAATGTTTTTAATGTTTGGGAGAATATGAGCAAATGATGACAGGATTTTAATTGTTGGGTAACTCCCTTTAACTGAAAGTTTTATATCTTTTATTTAGTTTTACAATACTAAATGAATAGTGTTTTGACAATATGTTTGAAATTATGTACACAAATGAGATGAAGGCTCTTTTTTACTGTTCAATCAATTCTGTTTTCCTTCATTTGTAAGTCACAATGCATACCTTCTGCTGAATTAATAAATATCAGAGGCCAAGAAATACCCGTTATTCTGTATTAATTGATCCCCTCTCATTTTGGCTGCCATGTTGAGATTATAGCCATGAAATCCAAATCAGGGACGCATAACACTGTTTAATGCCTCAATAAAATGAATGTGTCCTTAGTTTCTTAACTTCACCTATCTTCACATATCATTTTTATTATAATCAGAATGTTACAATTGTATGCAAAAATTCTGGCCTGGTAGGTCAAAGGTCTTACTCTTGAATTATTGTAGAGCCATTCTTTTTCACTGTGCCCTTGAGCAAACCTAAAATGCTTTATGGGACTATCCAAGTAGTTTGTAGCTTGTTTTAAAGCATCTGCTAAATAACCCATTATGCTTTAATGCAGCATTTCTCACCCTGGTCCTGGAGAACCCCCAACACTGCACGCTTTAGTTGCACATTTGACTTGAAGTAGTGCTGCGCAGACCCATCGGTGTATGACATCAAAGTACAGCGAGACTGATTGGAGAGCGGACGGCTCTGTATGATTTTGAACTGAATACATTTTCTGAATGTTCCGATCCAATCCAATCCGACTTCTGACCTGTAATGCTGCCTGAATCATAATCATACACTGTTCATTCGTTGGCCAGAGGAGAACTCTATTTTCTGTTTTGTTCTTCAGGTTAAAAATGAATAAAAAGAACTACATAATAATGACACGTCTCTTTTTCAAACATTTATTATTTATTGAAATATTATGTAATGTGTATTTTTTTAAATTAGTGCACAAGGTTAAGATTCTTTACTCTGTAAATGGCTGTTTAATTCAAGTATAGGTCTCTGCAGGACAGTAGTAGGAGTTACCAGATCAGGGGGCGAGGCCATAAACGGGCGTTTTCACCACGTTACCTGATTTCCCCACGTCACAGTGAGGGTAGGGTTTAGGGGTGGGGTCGGGTGAAGGGAATAAACACCCACCAGTTTGAAAACAAATTTATAAATGCCCACTTTTGTTTCCGCAGAGACCCCATACTTGTTTAATTTACTCGCATAAAGAAATTTTAAAAAGTTATAGAGCAATATTTTTGTTAATTTTTGTATCAACAAAGTTGTCATGTTAATGAAGGTTAAAATTTGATAAAGTTAAAGTTACAAGTAGAGGTTATCTATCTACAGTATCTTCTTAATCCACACAGCATTTAAAATAGCTGACTTGTGTTTGAAAAAACAACAACATTCTCACACCTTACAGATAATCTTAAAGCTAAACAACTGTAGAGTGTTAGATGCAGTTGCACTCTTCTGGTATGATGTTAGGTAGGGTCTCGTACTTGAATGAGTATCCCCCGTCTGAGGTGGTGGTGAAACGGAGGGACTTCATGCTCTCTGGAACAGGGGCGCAGCACTGGTTGATCCCGAGTAGCGTGGTAGTGCGCTCAGTGCTGGAACAGTTGCCATGGCAGTAGTAAAATGTGAAAGCTTTAGGATGAACAATCCAGTTGTTCCAGCCAAGGTCCTCGAAGGAGATTTCGATCTGTTTTTTTCTGCAATCTGCATCCTCAGAAGCAGGTCTCCTGAGATTTTCGATAGCAGCCGGTGACCAAGGGATTTTGGGCGCCCTGCGGGAGCGGTCAGGGCCGCTTGAGCGTGTGTGGAGGTGCAGAAAGGGGGTTTTATCTTCTGAATCATAGCAACTGCAGGATGGGCAACGGACCTGCAGCATGAAAGGGCCATCAGCCATGGCAATGTGGAGATGGGGAGCTAACTTATAGGTGGTCCAGCCATCAGGGCAGCGTTTGATTGGACTGTCAGATGCTTGGAGCAGCTCCTGGTAATGAGTAAGAATGAAAAGGGGTGCTGAGATGTTGCTAGAAGCGATGGTCTCTCCAGCATAGAACCAGAAGTGGGCAGAGGTGATGACGGAGTCCTGGCTGTCCATAGAGGGCTGAAAGTAGTAAGTAAAGTGACGGGATGCAGCATCTGAGGAGTGATCAGGCATATCCTTGCATGTAGACTCTGAAAGTTAATAAGAAAGGTCCGAATGTGTATCAAATGAAACAATGTCAACATGGCAAGATACCCCTGTTGCTTTAAAATGTGATTTAATGATTCCAGCTTTAGGCGGATCAATGTGTCCACGATAAAGAAAATCATACATTTTTCAATTAATGTTGGTTTCATATGTTTTTTAAAAAGCTTTTATACCATTTTAACAAGCATTTAAATCGTATGACTCTAAAAATGTCATGTGGTGTAGGCTAACTATCAAGTAAAAAGTTAAAACATATTTTCCTTCCACCTTATAGTGAACACCTCTTAACCATAAAAAAGTCCTATATTTAATTAGGTTTCGCACTAGTATTAACCTTGCCTTGTCTTTAAAAGAGTACACATTTCTGTGTTGCTTCACATCACATGATGATTTGACTGACAGAGTATTTGAAATATTTATGATATGATTATAATAATATTTAGTTATGTTATTCATGTTGAAGCTGTAATATTTCTCTAAGAAAGCTATTGGAGCTTACCTGAGCTTGGGAACAGAATAACCTGTGAAGACTCCTGATGGTGTCTTCTTCCTACTCTTGTCTCCCTAGTCATTCGTGAAGCTACATGCTGAGCAACTCTGTTCACCGCCTGCCTTGTTGGCAGCTGCAGCACTGGCAGAGGAGGCTCATCCATCTCCAAACCTTCTAGGATCCGTCTTTTCAGCCAGCCAAGCACCATGTCACGCGGTAATTCATCTCCTTGACAGGCCTGGACCAGTGGAGGTGAAAACAAAGCCCACAGCGTCAGGACACAAGCAAATGAAGACAAACAGCCGGTCCAGGTCAACATCCCTCAAAACTCAAAAGAGGATAAAGCAGACTAAATATGAAAAAAAAAAAACTATTTCAGGTAAAAGACAGAGAGAGAGCAGGAATCAAGCTCAGATAGGTTTAGTGTCTTCTCTCTTGATCTATGTTGTAGAAGGAGTCTGTAATAATTTGTTTTACACTTTAGCAAATGGAAACTATTTGTTTGGGTTCATGCTATCACTGTCTGGACAGGATAAAACAGCTTTTGAGATTACAATTCTTGGATACGGTCTATTTCCCTGTTCCCTTGTCCTTGGAGGAAATTGACACAGTATAACATAAGATTTTTTTTTTTTTCACAAAAGTGGATCATGCTTTTATACTTCCTGCTTGAAATGTTTAACCCATGTTTCTAATCTTAAATGCAGAAGCCTTCAATATTTATTATGTGAATGTGATGTTATTGAATTGTGCCTTATAAGTGTCCAATCCTGCTCTTGGGACACCTTAATGTAGAGTTTAGCCCCAACACACTTGATTGGTGGAAGGAAAGTGTCATTGTTTGTCAATGTCATGTTATTCTAAACCTTTATGACTTAATTTCTTTTGTGGACTTCAAAAGAATATATCTGAAGAATGTTGGAAACTAAACCATTTTGATGACCATTGAACAAAAAAAAAAAAAATTATGTTTCACAGAAGCCAGTTTAGAACATTGTAAAAGGTGCTATATAAATTAAGGTGACTTGACTTGAGAACATGAGGGTGAGTAAATAATTTCAGATTTTTTTTTACATGAATTATGAACTCATAAGTGCTCACAAGGGTTTTAAATGTTGAACTATATATTATTTTGTGGCTGTATAGTGGCTCTTAGCTAAATTTATGTTATATTTTTGAGAATTCTATTGTTGCCTGTAATCAAAACTCATTATTAGCAAAATCTTATTACTCTATGTTCTTTGTAAGATTTTCTCTGAGAGTTTGGATACTATGACACCTGCTTTCCCATGTGAGCTTGAAAAGTACAAACAAGAACATTATCAAACGCTTGTGGCTTGACCTTGCCGTGCAAATATCTCTGTGTCTGGTGTTTGCCAGTTTTTGGCAGAACTATTTTGCAATAGAGAAGATCAGTTCAGCCACTTCACATACACCAGAATATAAGGAAAATAATTAAGATCTTGAAAATTCTTATGTTTGAACTTTTGTAAGTTCTGTTAACAGAAGCAAATACTGTATAATTCTGTTAGTAACACTTTACAATAAGGTTTCATTAGTTAACATTAGTTAACTACATTATTTAGCATGAACTAATACTGAACCAACACAGTCTCATCCCAAGACGTCAACCAACTGACGCTTTTGACCATACGTCAACATCCGACGTTTTAGGGTACCCTTTAACGTCAGTTAGATGACGATCCTGGGGCGTCATCCAACTGACGCTTTACCTTTAGCGTCAGTTAGATGACGCGGGTAGGTTTAGGTCTGGGGTAGGGTTAGGATTAGATAGCGTCATCTAACTGACGTTAAAGGGTATCCTAAAACGTCGGATGTTGACGTATGCGTTGACTGAACTGCACTTCTACAGCATTTATTAATCTTTGTTATGTTAATTTCAACATTTACTAATACATTTTAAAATCAAAAGTTACATGAACAAACAACGAACAGCTGTATAATGTTAACAAAGATTAACAAATACAGTAACAACTGTATTGCTCATTGTTAGTTCTTGTTAGTTAATAATACATTAACTAATGTTAACAAATGAAACCTTGTTTTATCTTATTACCATGCTGTCTTTGAGCTAAAATTAGCTGAGCCACCATTTTAAAAGTAGAGTATTTTTCATGCCTAACACTTTGACTCCTTATTTTTGTTAGTCACATCTCTCATTTAGGTTTAGACCAGTGTTCCTAAGGGGTGGTGTGGCTTATGCATGGATTGCTTTTGCTTCTTATAGTCAACATAATAGAATATGCATGACCATGGAAATATGTCTAAGCTTTCTGCACTGTGCCAGCAGGTGGGGTAAACCTATTGCAGTTGACTAATTAAAGGGATACTCCACCCAAAAATAAAAAATCTGTCATAATTTACTCACCCTCAAGTTGTTGCAAACTTGTATGAGTTTCTGTCTTCTGCTGAACAGAAAGGAAGATATTTTGAAGAACGATTGGAACCAAACAGTTGTAGTAGTAGAAAAAAAATACTATGGAAGTCAATGGTGCCAAAGTTCCAATCGTTCTTCAAAATATCTTCCTTTGTGTTCAGCAGAAGAAAGAAACTCATACAGGTTTGCAAGAACTTGAGGGTGAGTAAATGATGACAGAATTTTCATTTTTGGGTGGAGTATCCCTTTAATACAGTTTGCTTTTCCAGATTTGCAGTCTGTAAAATGTAGGAAATATCATAATTGAATTGATATTAGTAGTAGTATTATTAATTCAATAGAAAACTTAAAACAATTAAACTGGTCGTTTTCTTCAGTATAAGCACAGCTGCATACTTTTCTCTGTTTCAACACAATAAAAAGCCCATATTATTCTAAACTCTCCGGTAATCATATCATGTGGCTCATGCTGTCTTTAACAAATGAATCAGTCAACATTCATTCAATGTCTTGTCTTCACACACACATAACAATGGTGGTGGATGGTAACAAAGTGTCTGGTATGTTTCAGGGGAGTGGAGGAGGAATGTCACGTGTGTCACAGAGTGTGATCACATTTATACTTGTCTGTACTATGCCTTTAAGAGCAAGGGGTCAGGTTTTGTCTAGTTAGTTTTGACAGTTAGTCCCTGCTGGTAGACACAACTACATCATTATGCGTGCAAAGTCATCTTTCTCAGTTGATTACCACTGAAAACTAATGATGTATTCTGCCAAAATAACATTGTTGTAATGTTACAAAGCTCCTACCTGTATTGAATGCTCAATTTTCATAGTAAAAGCATTTCAAGAGGCTTTGGGATGACCTAAAAAGTTCTGCCTACCCTTGCTCCAGCTGTCACTTGAAAGCTGGTCATACTCGCCTGTCACCTCTACAGGGAGTCAGTGAAGTATAAAGGTCATGGAAGAAAAGATAGGGGGAGAAGACAGAATGGAACGTGTTAGATCTTTAAATGACTTGAGCTCTAACATGCGCTACCCCGCCATCTAGTCAGCAAGGGGCCATGTGACGTGCTGGTAGATTGCTGGAAGAGAGGGTCACTATCCAAAAGAGGGAAGGAACACTCAATTACCCTCTCTTGTGTAAACAGACACTGGTACTGACACTGGTAATACGACATGATCCTGAGAAGGCTTAAAGATTAAGCTGCAGTTAATGGAGATATTCAGAGGCAATGTGTTGAGGTAAAATGTTACATGTAAAATGTTTAAAAAAGAAAATCTTTTTATTAATGTTAACTGGATATTTGTATAAAGAGGTATGAGGTAAGGCAAAATTTTCCTTGTGATTTACTGGTCCACGTTATCCTTTTTTTCCCCTTTTTTTTGGAGTATGTTTTACAAGAAAATACTACTTCAGTCTTTCTACTTAAAAAAAAATCATGTTAAATTGAATGTTACTTGCTGTTTCTTTGTAATTGATTGGGAAATTTACTAGCAATTTCTGAGTGAATATTTTTTCTACACCATTTTTTTCGGTGAACATTGTGTACATGAAATCTATTTTATTTAATTTTTAAAAAATCTCATAGCAAATTATTACTATATTAAATAAATAGTAATAAATTCTAGATATATTTTGATGTTATGTACACATATTCATTTTGTGTTTATTTATACAAGGTTCTGTTTATTATGCAAGCTTGTTTCCGCCACAGAATAAAAAAATAAAAAAGGTAAATGCAATTTTTTTTCTCACAAATCTGACTTTTTTTTAATATCTCGAGTTTATATCTCGCAATTCTGAGATAAAAAAAGTCGCAATTATCTTTTAAATTGTTTTATGGTGTGGCGGAAACAAGCTTTCATAGCTTTAGATATTCTGCAAAAGATAAATGTTTTTTCTTTCTTTTTTTAATTGCTAAATCTTTCATTTTTAATTATTTTTGCAGATTACAGACAAGTTTCATCATGACGGCCTCTGAAAAATTGGGGAATATATTATCTAAAGTCAATGGCAACAAAAGGAGTTATCTCACCACAACAGGGTTAAAGAATTATTAACAGTATTGCTCAAGATAATAATCACAATGAGAAAAGCTGAATTGCTGAAGAAAAACTCTAGTTCCATGATTTCCTCAAACCATGAAACACTCCCGGATCAGTACCCCGTCGAAGCTCCACCTGAATTCCTCCGAAAGCTGAAGTGGGCTGCTGTTGCGGGAGGTTGTGATGTCCGCCTGAGGGTGTCTGTGGGAGGCAAGCCGAGACCGACACTGCATTGGTACCATAATGATGACCCTCTGATAAATGATCATGAGGATTATGATGGCTTGTGGATACGAGATTGTAAACAAGCTGATGGAGGCCTCTACACCTGTGTGGCTGTTAATCAACTGGGTGAAGCTAGAACCAGCGCTGTTCTTGCTGTGCTGGACCTTGGAGAAGGTAAGATCTATGCTGCAAGTATGTCCCTGCAGAGTAAAAGCAGCACCTCCCAGAAACAACAAAGATTGATAATTGAGTTTCGGGTTGAAGAGTCCTGAATTAGTGGAACTATAGAGGAACAGTGTAAGCTTTCCCAATGCATAACATTTGTTTGAAGCCAACTTGACAGATTGGCTATATGGTCTGAATTAATATGATGGGAGAGAGTTGTTTTGTCCTGACTCTCTTGGTATGATGCATGGCATAGACTGACTTTATTTCCTTCAGTGGTTCTTAAACCTACTCTACCAGAAAGAAAGAAAATGTGCAACAATTGTACAACAGTCACTGGGGCGGTGAATGTGATTCCACCAAGTACAACACATAACCTGATTTCACCAAGTGCAACATGTTTCTGGATCAACATCTTTGTTGATCCTGGAACAAAATTCTAATCAACCAATCAGATTTGAGAGACAAGTTTATGTCAAGCTTGGGCTTACAACCAGGGTTTGGTGCTTCTA